AAGACTGAATTTCATTATTTTTCAAATTAGTGAAATATCTTGCTTTAAAATTTCATTCATATTTTCTTATTATTTATAATTGCCTTTTGTACTTTTCTGTTGTTTAAGTAGATGACCTGTACTCCCTCTCTTTTGTGGAATTACACATTAACTGGGTGGTATATAAATTCAAACCAAGTTCAAAAAGAGCTCGATGAAATCTTGCACTTATAAAATGTCTTCCATTCTGTAAATTCAGAATGCGGCTTTATTCTTCAAAATGTATTTGTGAGGCAAATGAGAAATACTATTAACTCCTTTGAAAGATGAAGAAGGTAAAAAGAAATTAGCATTTGGTATCTTGACTAAGACCAACTGCTATGTGATGGTGAAGGACATTGATCATATTTCCTGTCTAGTACTCACTATATTCTCAGAAACAGCGCCTCAGGCTTTGGCTTAGCCTCATTCAAATTCTTCAGGCATTATTGCTTTTCCCTTTGTGTTCTGAATATACATATGATTATTTATCCTATGCTTATAGAGCAGCAAAAAAAAAAAAAATCAGTTAAGCCAGTTGTTTGGCAGTACATAGGGAGAACAAGGCTCTTGTGAATTTAATCTGTTCTTAGAACTAAAATGATTTTCATACATGTCAAAGAGCCTAGCTAGTTTGTGCATGCAGATGCCACCTCAGACAGGCTCACTGTCGTTAGTGACATATTTAACTTTTGGATCTAGCTCTGATCTCTATGAGACCTTATTTAAGATACAGCTCTATGAGAAACCCTGGCCATGAACTATAACTCTTTTCCCCCTGCTGATAGTTTTTTTATCTCAGTTCTCCCACTTATAACACTGTTTTTCGCGACCTCTGTGTTATGTTGTCTTAGCTTATAAATTTCAGGTGCAGTCTCCCTTTTGCCATCATTTGCACCCATAAACTTCAAAGCTGGCACTTAACCATGTTAGGTTTCCTCCTGTGGAAGTCGGGAATATGGGCTCCCTGCTTTAAAGTTCAAGCACTAAAATGATCTTCAGCCATTAAAGGTCTTTTTCAGAGTAAGATGTACTTTAAGAGCATGGCAGGAGGGAGTTCATTTTTGTCTGAACGCAGCTCAGTGAAATTTTGGAAAATCAACGAAGTTTTGGGGAAGCCAATTTGCTACACTATGTATTTCCCTGTGGTGTCTCCCTCCCACTGCCCTCTGCCTTGATTATGTTTCTGTGGAGAGAAATGGAGGAGAAAGCAATTTCAGGACATACTCGTCTTGCAGCTGAAAAAATTGAACTTGGACTCATTAGTAGAAATGCTGCTGATCATTAAACAATGAAACCTTTTCAAGTGGGAGATAAAGTAATAAGAAGTGGCAGGAGAGAGGCAGGAATGCAGACAGTAAAACAGCACAGAGTGGCTCTGATAAGATCTTCGGGAACCTGAGACAAATCGGGTTCAGGTTTGCTATGCCTTTCCACCTAGCGCCTCCTTCTCCTCTCTGCCCGCAACTTAGATCTGGCACTGTCCAGTAATGTCTGTCACGAACTAGACCTGGCCCAAGCTTCCCTCACTTTCCGTGGCTTACTTTCTGCGAGCGTTCAGGTGCTGCGTTTGCCTACCTGCTCCGGGCACCTTTGCTTGCTGGGAAGCGTAGGCTGCTCTTGCACACCCTGCTTTAACCACCTGAGAGTAATTAAGTGGCCTCTCCTACCTACAGCTGAACCAGCTGGTTCCAAAATTATATTTTCCTGGAACATCTTGCTGTACTGGAATGCGCTGGCAGTTGAGAAGCCACTACTCACACCTGAACAAATCAGTCTGCTTTTTCTGAAATGTAGTACGTGTCCACCTCCTGGCACATACTCTGGTAAATGGCAGATCCAATTGTCTGGCTTAAGCAGACCGTGGTGAGATCACTGTAATCATCACAGAGCACTAAGTGAAGAATTGTGTAGAATCAAGTTGTATTGACTTACTGGTAGTCTACTTATACAAGCGGGACAGATGGAAAACCCCAGAGAAAGGAAAGACAAGCAGGCGTATACAACAGCACTTAGAAAGGGGAGTCTTCCTCCAACGAAACAGGTTTCTAAAAGAAGAGAGTTCTGGAAATGCAAAGTAGTTGACACATGGCATGTAGAACACACACACACACACACACACACACACACACACACACACACACAAATCGCCTATATCTTGCCCTTTCTGTTGGAAAATAAGGAAACTATTTCAAGATTCAGAATTGTGGTCCATACTTTTATTATTTTTCTACCATTATTACCATTTGCTATCTTTTTCCTTATAAAACCCAGGAAGTCTAAGCTAATTTGTAGGGCAACAGAGAAAAATAAGGGGGCAGACTCAATTTCAAACAAATGTTTAAAAGGCACTGAACCAGGTGAGCTTTGAAAGTGTTTCTCCCATTCTCAGACCTAAAGATAATAATTTTGGGGAAAATGCACAAATAAGCAAAGGAAGACAAATGTCTCAGAAATGGAAGAGATTGTTTTTCCTCTACAGCTCCCTCTCTAGGGACTGAGTTGGCTCATTACTTTTTTTCTTACTAGATGGGAAACTGCTCTTGAACATTTCAAAGAACCACTGTGATGAAAACGCTAAATGCATTCTGGGATTGGTCTCTCATTCCCTCCCTACCCAGGAAAAAGACTCTGCTTCTCAGCCCATAGAGCCATCCGTACCAGAGAATCCCGGAGCCACCACCTGCATGAACTTTAGCACTCTGAGGCTTAGTATGCCGGCCAGGAATAGTAACATGGCAGCCAAGGCTTTTTGAATTCCATGTGGAGATATGTACTTCTTCATCAGCAAGCAGGTAAACAACCACACGGAAACCAGGGAGTGAGACAGACCCTGTCTGTGATCCAGCCTTATTTCATTCATCAAAGTGTGTCTCCCTTTTGTCTAATGCCAACTCCAGCTCCTCCCCTGGCTGCCCTTCCCTGAAAAGACCTGTACTCCTTTGCCCTGAATCAATAGGGAGGAAAGAAAAAAAAAAAAAAATCAAGCTGGGTCTCCTGAGCAGTAAGAGTTTATTTCTGTTTTTCTTTCTTCCTCATCAGGAAGGAAAACCCGTGTCATGAGAAGTTTTGTGTTCTTGACAATTTTAAATTTAGGAGATAGGGGCTGGGGATTTAGCTCAGCGGCAAAGC